TATTTTTGCACTAGTGCTTGTTTCTAGATGGCACACAACATTTCTCCATCATTCTACCTTCCACTCACCATCTATTTCATACTTTTCCTTCCACTTCTGCAAGTATAAATTACTTGGATCAATCTGACAAAAACTTTTCATCCCCTTTATGATCTTCTCTTTACTCTTTCCTGAACCCATCCTTTTAAATTCTTTTACCTCCCTTGCACTCTTTAGTTATTTATCCTTAAGTTCTATTATTTTTTGGGAATTTTGGGAACACAACCCATGAAACACAGTATAAAATATTTCTAACAATTTAATTTGTTGATTCGGTGCATAGCTCTTTTAGAGACCTATTTCATATGCTAATTTTGAGAGATAGGAATTTTGGGTTTTCACGAGCTGTATGCCAAAATAATCCATATCAAGACATTAAAATACCTGAAATATTTCAGTTAGTGTGCAATGAATCTAAAATATGTTCAAGTTTTATCATTATGGAAAACATCACAATATGCTAATCTTTTGAGAAGGACCTATACAGCAAAGACAAGCCAGACTAGGTAGACATTCATCTAGCTAAAAAATATTGGCAATGTTCAGATATTAGCAAAGAAACTGATTTAATTCTGTATATACTTGCCCAATTTGTACAAATGCACCTATTAAGAGTCCAATACCTGTGCTCTGTGATCCTGAGTAGGGAAACTGTCCTTGAGGTCTGGTGTTCTGCAGCTTTTACACTTCTGAATGATGAAAGTTGAGCTCTGAACATTTTTGATTCTGATGTTGAAATAAAGTTGAAGGACCCTGTAATTCAGGCCTGTCAAATTTGAAGGTCCAAAGCTGTCTTTATGGTATTGTTAAACCGTGGGTGATTAAACTGACATTAAAAATTACAGGATCAATGACCGTTAATCTGAAATCGGCAAATTATTTTAATAAATTGCAAATACAAACTCACTTTGATCAACTTAATGTCCCCCTTAAGGCCTCCACTCCATTTCAGTTTATATCTATTGGACCCAATGTCTAATGGGTTCCCTAAATTTGGCCTATTCTATGATAAGACACCCCATCTGGCTTAATATGAATAATTCTACTCAGGAAACAGAAATTCAAAGTTCATTTCTTTATTTAAAAGGGGAGCCAGCAGCGTCGCTTGACACGTTGTGGGAGCCAGCAGCGTCGCTTGACACGTTGTGGGAGCCAGCAGCGTCGCTTGACACGTTGTGGGAGCCAGCAG